ATATGCAGTTGCAGTAACTAACCAGGATGAAAGAGCGGCAACGGCTCCTGAAAATCTGTCTTCTGGGTCAAATTACTTTTTACTGGTAAGTAGTGGCCTTCATTATGTCATCTTAATCTATTCATGGTTTTCTTCATTTAGCCACTTTCTTCCTCGCAAAACACTAATAACTCAGATTTTTCTACATATGATACCAGGTACTTTATCCTATCTTTTTTGTAGATCAACCAGTGTATTGTGAGTTTTTGTAATTATGACATTTGAGCTCGTTTAATTTGTCAACCCCCTACCCGTCGGACTTCTCGTCATCATTCGAACGTAGTGACAGAGGAAATATGAACGGTTGGCAACTATTTCTTTCTCAGCAGGTGGCTTCAAAAGCCGCTTTAGCAAAGGCATTACGCGTACGATGTAGTTTGTTTAACTGATTGGGTTATTTTTTTGTGTCTGTAATGGAGCTGAAAGTATACATTTGTATCAGTACGTACATTTCTCTGTGATCGCTTTCTTTGCAGTTACTGACACAAGTAGCACGATAGCAGAAGAGACCGGCTGGTTCACCGATCATCAAAACCTGCCCCAGCCCGAGGTGCTTATCTTTTTTGACTACTTTTTAAGAAAAAATCATATCGATGAGTCTCTAACTTAAGGTTGGCTTTCCTTCAAGACAACTTTCTGAGAAAGTCTCTCTGGGTTCTTCATCTGAACAAAATACTGGTTCCGCTCACGGCAGAAAAAAAGGCATTCTGAAACGACAGGCTGTTCGAATTTAGCTACTGTTGGCTTCGCGTTGCTTCGTGTAGATATGTGAACTTGTTTAGACTCGATCCCCGGACTTGTGCAATGACCTTGATCTCATTAATGTTGAAGCTGACAGACAAGCACTACTCGAATCTCATTCCAATCGAACGGAGGTGTCACTTTTTAACTCTTTAGTTAGGCTAACGTGAGCGTGATATTATGTCTTAAAATCGTGGCCCATAGAGTGTTCAAACTTTCTGAAAGCATTGAAACTTGAGAGTCGACCGTTTTATGTACACATCCATCTCAGTGTCACTAAGTCACCGTTAATCGTTGCTTTGACCTCTGGGGAGTTTTTGGTCGATTTATTGCAGTTCTGCTACCGTAAAGCAAAGTGCATTAGAACCAGAAAGGCTTTGGAAGAAATGGATATGTGGCAGAAGAGCTGGATCGAGTAGGTTTCAAATCTCACACGTTTTAGGTAAACAGTCATATGTTAATCGTGTAGTGTAAGACAGGCGATTTTCGCTTACTGAATGACACATAGCTAATCCGCGAACTGTTCATGAATGTGCTACTCAGTCAGCCAGTTGGCTGGAGTGACCGATTTTCAAGGAGAAAAAACGTTTTTACTACCGTATTTGCAGGAACGTTCGCACATCAGATTTTTCGAAGGAAGCTGCAATCTCGCACATTGTGCAGACCTGGAAATCACTCAGTAAAACTTATTCAACACTAAGAGTAAGTTAATTGCATAGCTGTCTTTTATTATTATACATGTGCCGAACTTGCTTTCACGGTCATTTCCGTCCGGCCAAGAATTGTAGAATCTCTTTTGTAACTACCCTAAAATTCCATAGATAAGAGCGGGTGAGCCTACCGGTGAAAAATAAATTGGAAAAAATCGAAATTGAATGCAGTCACCCCTCTAACTTGATGGATGGGTAAATTAAACCTCGAGGAAGAAGTTAAGAAGAAGCGTCCCACAACTCTAAACCCCGCCCACTTAATAAACAATTCATATAAAAAAACAGCGATCCGTAAAAATCGCTGTTTTTCTATATGAATTGATTATTAAGTGGGCGGGGTTTT